TGTGTGTGGGACGGGGAGTACTTCAGTGATTCACCAGTCTTAATTGAGTTTTAATTGTAGTAAAATAGAGGAGTGTAATTTTAAAAAAAAAAACTGGCCAGAATCAAACCAGAGTTCTCCATATAGGGCCTAAGCTATTGTTAGTTTAAGGATTGTAAAGACAAAACCACAAAATTATAGTTTTTGGGGAGCCATGTTAACTCATCCTCAGTGTAAAACTTGATTTTATAAGACATCTCACAGATGCCTCAGCCATCTAAGCAAACAAGTGTTTCACACAAAAGTAAAACTTAGTGAAACTGTTAATCTTGTGACCCACTTTCTTGTACAAATAATTGAGGCAGTGAAAGATTTAAAACAACCAGTAGTTTTAAGAATAGCCTGACTGCACCAGGAAGTTGTTCATCTTAAACAAGTTAGCTGGCAGGGCATATCCAAAGTAGGAACAACTTCCTTATGGCTTACAAGCTAAAAAAATTTTATAAATCTTTTCAATATGGTAAATTATGTTTACCATCAAACTCTTGGCATTTTTCACACTGACACATCTAACAAATACTGAGTGGTTGTATTTGGTATGGACATATTGAGAAGCTTTGTCTAAAGCCAACTTTCTGAAGCCAGATTTAGAATTTAAAATATTCAATATTTATGCTATAAAGTATTTGCATTATTTCAGAAAATTTATTGTAATACAATCTTTCATAAAGTGAAACTATCAAATCATAAAAAATTCTATTAATCAAAGGCCAAAGAAAAGTTTCTTTGCCAGTTTATGAAAACATTATAGGTTGTCTGTTTTCTAAAGGCTGCTAAAACAGTGGCCACACTTGGACCAAAAAAAAAAAAAAGTTTTATTCAAGCAGTTTGGTTGATTAAACAAAATTCTCTCTTCCTGTGGATTAGTTTTACTTTTGCTATTGGTGGTAGCCAGAAGATCCTTCAGCAGTTTTGTCCCATTGAGTCATCAATGGGAGCTTTAATTGTCATGAGTCACTTAATGCCACTTTTTGACAATTAAGAATAAAAAATTGTTTAAGTAAACAAAATTCTATGGGAAAAGAATAACCATTTATTCTGACTCAGGGACACAATTTTATCCCACCAACTTCCGTATTATGAAGTCAAACACATTGGGCTCTCCTCTTCTTGAGTACAAAGACAACAGAACACAGGAGATCAAAAGTGAAGAAAGTCACACGTGCAAGTAGAAATCATGCTTTCTCACAAGTTACAGATATGAGAGTGGTATGTGAAACGCATCTAGTATAGCAAACTTAACAATTAAATGATATTATGGTGAGCCAATTCACCATAAGTGGCCTATATTAGGTCTAGTCAAAGGAGGTCAGTGGCCAGAGCCTAGCTGAAGAAATGAGAGCTATCTCAAAACTCCTAGGTGAGGGCAATCCAAGAAGAAATAAAGGCTATCTCAGAATTCCAGGTGAGGCAAAACAAGTAAGCTGAGACTCTGCTTTGGTATCATGAAAGAAAGGTCATGAGAACCTGGATGTAAAGGCATGGCGATGAAAACATTCTTGTCTTTTTCTTTTATTATTGGATAATTTATTTATTTACATTTCAGATACCATCCTCTTTCCCCATTTCCCCTCCCTAGAACCCTCTTACCCCATCCCCCCTTTTCATTTTTATACTATTTTAATTATATGCAAGTCTTAAGGTCAGTTCTAGGTTAAGGAACTAGCAATACAATAGATGCAAATAGTCAAGGAACAAGCAAGACAATAAACAAAATTCTGTGAACATTCCTGTGATCACTGTTTTTAAGGGCTTAACAGGATGACCAAAATATCTGAGCCTACTTCCCTGTCCTAGCCCAGAGTCCTTTTCATGTCTGAATCCTACTTCCTTGTCCTTAGCCTAAAATTTAGATTCCTGCCTGAAATTACTTCTTTATTCTAGCCTAATGTCAGATTCCTGCCAGAAGCCCACTTCCTTGTCCTTGGCCAATGTCATAATCCTGCCAAGCAGCCCATTTCCTTGTCCTTGGTCCATGTCAGATTCTTGCCAAGCAGCCCCAAAAGCTCTCCACCTCTCCCCCTCTTTTATTTCCTTAACAAGACTGAGCCTGTCCTAGGTCATTCTGACAAGAATGCCTTCCTTACCCATCATGGAATACACATTATCAAAAGCAATACACTTCTGTCTTAGGTTTTTAAGGCTCTGTGCAGAATCTTACCCATCCATGGCTTGCTAGCCTCTAAATTTAATAACTCTGTCTGGGGGTCCAGATGAAAACATTCTTAAGGTCTAAAATGGTAAACTGAAAAGTAGAGGAGAGAGTCCACACCAGACAGCAAACCATCCAAAGAGATAATTTTCCTATGATAATCATGGAAATTACTTTCTGAATGGTGGCTTGTTTTCTGTCGGGCCATGAAAGGATATCTTGGTTCTCAGCTGGGCATGGGCCTTGAACCCCGACCCCATTGGGGAAACGGCAGGTGTTCAGTCACGCCCCCAGAATCCAGGCTGCTACATGCAGTCTAGACCTCCATTTAACCTGCTCCTTACAGTCATGTTTGGCTCTGTAGCCTCTCCCAAAGGGGCTGTCACCTAACACAGTGAGAGGGTGTGACTACAGGCTTCAGCCTCAAGAGATTTCTATATTAATGAGTTACCTAAACACCAGAGGGCGTGGCTAATTAAGTTATTCCCTCCCAAGTCCTTCCTTCTCCTTCTCCCTATGTAAGCCAGTTCCACCCTGGCTTAAATGGGGGATGCATATCTAGACCATCTATCACACACCATGAACAATAAAGCTTTAGAATCCACGGACTTTTTTGTGTTATTGGGACCTGTCTTCGAGTTGCTGTTGTGGAAAGCTTCACTGCCTTCCAGCCACAGGAACCTGTATCTGGTGATGTACTTGCTCCCAAGTGACTTAGTGCTTAATACCCAGCCTTTGCAGACATCTCCCTGCCAGGGGTGCTGCTTCCCTGTAATTATCCTACAGGTATACCCACAGATCCAACAGAGATAATGCCATCTCTTGAAATCTGCCTGGGACACAAAGCTGCCTCCATCTGACTGAAGACTTCAGAGACATGCTGAGACCCAGAAACAATGTCACCTCCTGGAACCTGCCTGGGACACCAAGCTGCCTTCTCCCAGCCACCTTGTTTGACTGAAGACCCAATGATGCACACCAAGATCCAGACCTTCCAGCTACAAATGAACTCTTTCGCCAAAGTCAAATAACTAAAGTTACATGTTAGAAAGGAAAACATGTCTATCTAGATTAATCAGATATTATTAGCCTCAAGCTGTACAACATGTATTTAATTGGTTCAATGATCCCTTGCCTTCCCAACCCTCACCCTCAACTCCCCTTACCCTGTGACTTAATTGTGCTACCCTCTACGGCCTTAGTAGTGTTTTCTTTTGACTTCCTCATCCAAAAAGTTTCACCACAGATGACATAGGGACACACACACCCTTTTTAAAAAAACAAACAGGAGGAGTTGTCGGGCCGTGAAAGGATATCTTGGTTCTTGACTGGGCATGGGCCTTGAAACCTGACCCCAGTGGGGAAACGGCAGGTGTTCAGCCATGTCCCCAGAATCCAGGATCTTACACACCATCTAGACCTCCATTTAACCTGCACCTCACAGTCACGTTTGCCTATGCAGCCCTTCCCAAAGGGGTGTCACCTTAAACAGCAAGAGGGTGTGACTACAGGTTTCAGCCTCAAGAGCCATATTAATGAATTACCTAAAGGCCAGAGGGCATAGCTAATTAAGTTATTCCTTTTCCCAGTCCCTCCTCTTTTCCACCTCCCTATTTAAGTCAGACCCACCCTGGCTTAAATGGGGGGAGGGGTGTGCACATCTAGATCATCTATCATCCACAATGTCAATAAAACTGTTGGAACCTTGGACTTTCTCATGTTATTGGGGCCTGCCATAGTGGAAAGCTTTTCTGTGTTTCTGCCACGGGACCTGCAGTTTTCTATTATGATTTTCAGTATGCTTTTGTTCGGTGATCATTTTTATCTAGTTTCTTTTCCTTCAAATTATAAGATAGTATATAAGCAAAAAAAAAATAGCCATAGAAAAATAATGAAATAGCTCATAAGTGTACATATTCTACAGCTATACCACTCTTAACATACCCAATCTCCTCAGTCATAAATTAGCATGCACCCTGTCTTTGGAGTGTTTAGAGATTGCTCAATGAAATAAATTTTCCATTACTTTTCTATTTTTAGCTTTTCTATTTTCTATTCTATTTGTAACCATATACCCCAGTGAACAACCCTCTTATCCTTCAGAGAGTTCTGATCAACTTTTCCTCCTGGAGAACTCAAGTAATTTGGCAAAAATAATTTTTTGGCAAAACAGTTTTGCTGGCTTTAGCTGAAGTCAATGTTTGTTTGTTTGTTTGTTTGTTTGTGTTTTCTATCAGCCTGCTATTAAATTCTTTTCTTGCCAATTAAGAGTCTCCCAGATCCTAGTTGGTCTTAGACAGAATCAAATGTTGTTCTTTTAAGAACTCCTTGATTTATATCTTGTTCGAGTGTGTGTATTCAGACATTCGATGTTGTGATAATTCCTCCCTTGGGATTATATAAATAACATCAGATGAGATATCAGAAACAAACTAAAGAAATCAAAGCATGATTCCACTAAAGTCCATCCTGGAGAACCAATGAATATATTAGACTTATTTACAAATTGGGGCTGAGGGTTTCCTCACAGGGGATACTTCAGAAAATCTTTACCCTGCACAGATGATGGCTTCTAGTATGACCAGATAAGTTTTTCATGTGTTAATCATTCACCTACTTTAACAGGGTGGGGGCAATGGTGGCATTCAATATTGTAGTTGCTTTCTTCTCTTATGGGCACTGCTATAATGCTCCTTTCATAGTGTCTCATAGTGTCATAATGATACATCCCAGGAAATAGTCCTCTTATCCTTTACAGAGATCTGGTCAACTTTTTCTCTTGGAGAACTGAAGTAATTTGGGACAAAAATCACATATCGTCTTCCGAGTCATTTTGCTGTTCATAATTTTTCAGAAATTGGATTTCTGAGGGGCAAGGCTTGCTAAGTTTCCACTTAATGAACCTGAGGGAAAAGGAAAGCGATCTCTGGTTAGATGACATTTAAAATTAAAACCTGAAGCAATGTGAATAAAGCAAACTCCATATTATTTGTGTAACTGTGGCTACAACTCCAAAAGGAAGATAATTTCTATTTGCCTTTGAGCTATTTAAAACTTGTGTAGATTAAAATAAGGTAAAAGTAAGCATATGAAATACGGACTTTCAAATTTATATTAGGACATAATTTAGATCATTTCTAACACAAACAGGAGAATCTACAATCTTGTGGAAAGCCCAGTTCAATTTGCCATCAGTGGAGTTTCTACAACATCCTATGAATTACAAGAAAGGTGGCTTTTCCTCTGAAGAAAGTACATGAAGCCATTGCCTTTATTATAGCTAGCCCAAGATAACTTTAATGCCAGGTCAAGTCTAGGCTGGATTTCAACTTTTCCTTGTACCTTCAAGGAAGTAATTTTGTAAGCAGGATACTGGCTGTTTAACAACAGATGATACCCATGTATACAATAAATTGAGAAGTTCAGAGAGGTATCAAGCTCCTTTCCAGTAGTTGGCCAGCCTTAGAATCTATAGATATATGAGAACCAACAACTAAACTCAGTGGGTGATATTTTTGAAAAGAAGAGGTCATGAAGTTGAGAGAAAGAGGTGTCTGGAGGGGTCTGGGAAGAACTAGAGATGGAAAAATGAAAGTGGATGATCAAAATGCATTACATACATGTATGAAATTCTCAAACAGTAAATCTGTTTTTAAAGTAGACAGAAGTGCCCCCATCCTATGCCCATATTAGTACTTTGAAATAAACTCAGATGAAGGTTTGGAGGTAGTGGTGGTTACAATTTCCAACACTTGACGGTATGAAGCTTCTAGTGGCCAAAGTTGAGCACGTTATCTACTTCTATGATCCAAAGGAAAATATCACTGTGAACCATGAACATTTTTTCCTATATAGTACTATCATAAGGGCATTGTGTACTGTGGCCACAAAAGTAGAACATAACTTCCATAAATCATGGAAACAAATGTGCAAAAAATGTGGTAAATGAAATTACTAAAATAATTCTCATTTTATGAGAAACTTCTCTAAGCACCTACATCTTGATTTTAATTTTCTGCCTTCCATGGTCTGATGATGTTTGAGCCTGTCACCGTGGAAGGATTAGGAATCAAACAGATCCCTAGAAAGTGGACAGACAGGAAAGGGAGGTTTTAGTAGATGAATGTACTTAATATTTATGATGTTAGACTTTCTGTTTCTTCTCCCTCTCCAAGACAAAAATTTGGACCCTTTTCCATCAGAGGGAACTGTTGTAGAGGACATTCAAATCTCCCACCAGGGAGGCACAGGTGAATGTGCTGCAGGATGCTGCATATGTCAGAGGCACATCAGAGACACCTATTCCGAGTTTGAGTCAGCATTTACTGTTTTACTGGCAATTTCTGTGCTTCCATAGAATTTTCTCCTATACTACGTTTTCTTATAGAACAGTAATAGAAGAAACTCATTCATGGAGAGAATTTAAATTTTAAGATTAACTACTCAGTTGAGTCTTGATGATCATATCAGATAAGTGAGATAACTTACCAACTGACAAGAACATAATTAACTCCAATGATGACATAGGTCAATGCATAATAAGCACAAAAGAATACGGCAAGAGTCGAAATGTTGTTATGATCATTCAGGTCCCATGCATGTTCTGTATTTTTGGGATACAGGATAAAACCAATCTGTGTTTTAAAACAAAACAAAATGACACATAAAATAACCAGACACATTACCAGACACAGTTATTCCAAGTGCTTAACAATGAGATGATTGCCAGCATGAGAGAGAGCACAGATAAATCATATTTTTCTTCCTAGTTTAGTAACATAGACAGTATCTGCCTAGTCATCTTTCTAAACTATCTCGAAAGAGTGTTAATCCCTAAATGATTCACCCTTATTAATCCCCTGATTAGTATCAGTTCCAAGGCTCAGGGAACTTTTCAGAACATAGGGCAGAAGGAATAAAAGAGCCAAAGGAGAGGGAGGATTGTTGTAAAATGCTGTCTTCTGAATATGGTGACACGGCTGTCCCACAAATAAAATCAAGGAAGATGTGGTTATATGCCAAACCAGACACAAAATAAAGCCAAGACAAGTTCTGGTAAAGATGGGAGAGGTTCTCTCTTAGCCCTGACATTTCCTGACGAGCTATTGAGAGTTGATAGCTATTAGAGAAGGAAGGGTCAATCTTTTTAGAGGATGTGGCCTGTGGTAGATTCCCCAAGTTATGGATGATCCTACACCATGTACATATGTAAAGCACTAATTTGAATTAAGTTTCAAGAAAGAAAAGATGTGAAGTTGGGAGAGATGGGTTGGGGAGGGATTCAGAGACTAAGACAGATAAAATGGGAGAATTTTATGATGAATGATACGGTCATAATTCATTGTATACGTAAGTGAAGTTTTCCTGTATAGAGAAAATTATTCTTTAATATGCATATGGTCGGATCCCAGGTGGCAGCTCTGCACCCAGTCTCACAGAAACCAGAGGAAGCAGGGCTCTCAGGAGCTCTAACCCAAGCAGAAGAGCAGTATCCTAGCCAAGGAGGCAGTAACACTTGCCCCAAACAGGGAGTAACCAGGACACACTGGGACCCAGGAATTCACTCCTGGCCAAGAGCACTGGTTCCTTCCAGTCTCCACCTGAGCACTAAGCAGATCTTGGGACTTAGCTCTAACCCCAGCAGTAAAACATATTCCAAACATTCTGACACAACCTAGATAATAGGAAAGACAGGCTACAGTCAGAGAAAGTGAAAATAGAACCAAGGAGATCCAGATGGTGAAAGTCAAGCACAAGAACATAAGCATCAGCAACCCAAGGTACTTGGCATCATCAGAACTTGGTTCTCCCAGTTAGAAAGTCCTGATCAGCCTATATAACCAGGAAAGCAAGAGACAGATCTAAAATCACTTCTAATAATGATGATAGAAGACTTTAAGAAGGACATAAATAACACTCTCAAAGAATTTGAGGAGAACACAGGAAAATGGGAGAAAACCCTTACAGAGGAAACAGAAGAATCTCTAAAAGAATTACAAGAGAACACAACCAAGCAGGTGAAGGAATTGCACAAAACCATCCAGGACGTAAAAATGGAAGGAGAAACAATAAAGAAATCACAAAGGGATACTACCCTAGAGATAGAAAACCTATGAAATAAATCAGGGGTCATAGACCCAAGCATTACCAACAAAATACAAGAGATAGAAGAGAGAATCTCAGGTGCAGAAGATACCATAGAAAATATTGACACAACTGTCAAAGAAAACACAAAATGCACAAAGTTCTTAACACAAAATATCCAGGAAATCCAGGACACAATGAGAAGACCAAACCTAAGGATAATACGTATAGAAGAGAGTGAAGATTCCCAACTTAAAGGGCCAATAAATATCTTCAACAAAATTATAGAAGAAAACTTCCCTAAACTAAGGAATGAGATGTCCATAATCATACTTGAAGCCTACGGAACAACAAATAGACAAGAACAGAAAAGAAATACCTCCCATCACATAATAATCAAAACACAAAATGCACAAAACAAAGAAAGAGTTTTAAAAGCAGTAAGGGAAAAAGGCCAAGTAACATATGAAGGCAGATCTATCAGAATTACACCTGACTTTTCACCAGATACTATAAAAGCTAGAAGATCCTGGATAGATGTCATACAGAGTCTAAGAGAACATAAATGCCAGCCCAGGCTACTATACCCAGCAAAACTCTCAATTACCATAGATGGAGAAACCAAGATATTCCATGACAAAACGAAATTTATATAATATCTTTCTACAAATCCAATACTACAAAGGATCATAGCAGGAAAGCTTGAATACAAGGAGGGCAATTATACCCTAGGAAGAGCAAGAAAATAATCCCCTTCCAACAAACCCAAAAGAAGATAACCATACAAACAATGCCTCCACTATTACCAAAAATGACAGGAAGCAACAATACCCTCTCCTTAATATCTCTTAACATCAATGGACTCAATTCCCCAATAAAAAGGCATAGGCTAATGGTCCGGATATGCCAACAGGACCCAGCTTTTTGCTGCATACAGGAAACCCACCTCAGCTACAAAGACAGACACTACCTTAGAGTAAAAGGTTGGAAAACAATTTTTCAAGCAAATGGCTCTAAGAAACAAGCTGGAGTAGCCATTCTAATATCCAATAAAGTTGACTTTCAACTTAAAGCTATCAAAAAGAATAAGGAAGGACATTTCATACTTGTCAAAGGAAAAGTCAACCAACATGAACTCTCAATTCTGAATATCTATGCGCCAAATGCAAGAGCACCCACTTTCATAAAGAAACCTTATTAAAGCTCAAAGCACACATTGGACCTCATACAATAATAGTGGGAAACTTCAACACCCCACTCTGAGCAATGGATAAATTATGGAAACAGAAACTAAACAGAGATACAGTGAAACCAATTCTCTTCAAACAATTCCACAAAATAGAAACAGAAGGAACACTACCCAATTCATTCTATGAAGCCACAATTACACTCATACCTAATCCACACAAAGACCCAACAAAGAAAGTGAACTTCAGACCAATATCCCTTATGAACATCGATTCAAAAATACTCAATAAAATTCTTGCCAACCAAATCCAAGAATACATCAAAACAATTATCCATCATGATCAAGTAGGCTTTAACCCAGGAATGCAGGGATGGAAATCCATCAATTTAATCTACTATATAAACAAACTCAAAGAAAAAAAAACACATGATCATATCACTAGATGCTGAGAAAGCATTTGACAAAATTCAACATCACTTCATGATAAAAGTCTTGGAAAGATCAGGAATTCAAGGTCCATACCTAAACATAGTAAAAGCAATATACAGCAAACCAGTAGCCAACATCAAACTAAATAGAGAGAAAATTGAAACAATCCCACTAAAATCAGGGACTAGGCAAGGCTGCCCACTCTCCCCCTACCTATTCAATAGAGTACTGGAAGTCCTAGCCAGAGCAATTAGGCAACACAAGGAGGTCAAAGGGATACAAATTGGAAAGGAAGAAGTCAAAATCTCACTATTTGCAGATGATATGATAGTATACTTAAGTGACCACAAAACTTCAACCAGAGAACTCCTAAACCTGAAAAACAACTTTAGCAAAGTGGCTGGTTAAAAAACTAACTCAAACAAATCAGTAGTCTTCTTCTACTCAAAAGATAAACTGGCTGAGAAAGAAATTATGGAAATGACACCCTTCACAATAGTCACAAACAATATAAAATACCTTGGTGTGAATCTAACCAAGGAAGTAAAAGACCTGTATGACAAGAACTTCAAGCCCCTGAAGAAAGAAATCAAAACAGATCTCAGAAGATGGAAAGATCGCCCATGCTCATGGATTGGAAGGATTAATATAGTAAAAATGGCTATCTTGCCAAAAGCAATCTACAGAATTAATGCAATCCCCATCAAAATTCCAACTCAATTCTTCACAGAGAGAGAAAGAGCAGTCTTAAAATTCATTTGGAATTACAAAAAACCCAGGATAGCGAAAACTACTCTAAGGAATTAAACAACTTCTGGGGAAATCACCATTCCTGACTTCAAGCTGTACTAAAAAGCAATAGTGATTAAAACTGCATGGTATTGGAACAGAGACAGGCAGGAGGATCAATGGAATAGAATAGAAGACCCAGAAATGAACCCCCATACCTATGGTCACTTGACCTTTGACAAAGGAGCTAAAACCATCCAGTGGAAAAAGACAGCATTTTGCAAAAATGGTGCTGGTCCAACTGGAGGTCAACATGTAGAAGAATGCAAATTGATACATGCTTATCTCCTTGTACAAAACTCAATTCCAAGTGGATCAAGGACCTCCACATAAAACCAGCTACACTGAAACTAATAGAAGAGAAACTGGGGGAAAACCTGGAACACATAGGCGCAGGAGAAAAGTTCCTGAACAGAACACATGGCTTGTGCTCTAAGACCAAGAATTCACAAATGGGACCTCATAAAACTGCAAAGCTTCTGTAAGGCAAAGGATACAGTCAATAGGACAAAGCAGCAACCAACAGATTGGGAAAAGATCTTCACCAACCCTACATCTGACAAAGGGCTAATATCCAAGGTATACAAAGAACTGAAGAAATTAGGCTCTAGACAATCAAAGAACTCTATTAAAAAATGGGGCACAGAGCTGAACAAAGAACTCTCAACTGAGGAAGCTTAAATGGTTGAAAAGCACCTAAAGAAGTGTTCAGCATCCCTAGTCATCAGAGAAACGCAAATGAAAACAACACTGAGATTCCACCTCACACCAGTCAGAATGGCTAAGATCAAAAACACAGGTGACAGCAGATGTTGGCGAGGACGTGGAGAAAGAGGAACACTCCTCCATTGTTGGTGGGATTGTAAGCTGGTACAACCACTATGGAAAGCAGTCTGGCGGTACCTCAGAAAATTGTACATAGTGTTACCTGAGGACCCAGCTATACCACTCCTGGCATATACCCAAAAGATGTTTCAACATACAACAGGGACACATGCTCCACTATGTTCATAGCAGCCTTATTTATAATAGCCAGAAGTTGGAAAGAACCCAGATGTCCTTCAACAGAAGAATGGATGCAGAAAATGTGGTACATTTATACAATGGAGTACTACTCAGCTATTAAAAATAATGAGTTCATGA